ATCATAAGTGCAACCTATTAATTTCATATGTGTGTAGTCAATTTACATCACTGCCTTATAGTAAGTTCAACTACGCATCATATGTACCCCAAACCTTTGTTATCTAATTTATCCACTCAATCAAATTTGAAATTTCAATTATCAACATCTTATTCCACTTGTGCATTCTTATGTTGAGCGTTGTATGTTCGATACCAAGCCCTAGATATATTATATCAGTTACAACTTGCCACTATTATTAAAAAAATTCTTTAGAACCAAATTTGTCAAACACTTACTTGTTGTAGTGTCATGAGTTAGTCCATATACTTTCTATTCCTTAATTATATAAAGTCTTTAAAACAAAATATATACAAAAAAAAAATCACGTTCACAAAATTAAAGTGAATATATTTAAAAGGTTTAATAAATCTGAGAACCCCTTATATAATAGTGTATTAGTTGTGAGACATCAAACTGGTTTGCAAAAAATTCACCAATTTCTTGAATATAATCTGGCCCAAAGGAATTCATTCAATTACATTCTTATATTTTGTATCTTTAAGTTGAAATTTTTTACTCAAATTATTGACATCCTCATTTCTGCTTGCTCTTCTTATACTGTCTTTTGAGGGTTACAATCTGATACCAAGCTTAGAAGTGTTATATTGGGCTGTAATTTGTACAAATTTCATTTCTTTCAATGGCTCAGCAACAGGAATTCTACTTGTACTATCATTAGAGAAGTGCTGTTTATTATGTAATTTTAAGAGGGTGGAGAGGTTACTAGTCCATCACGTCTATATATTATATATAAAAATTATGACTAGTTGCTAATTAAATTACAGAGGAATGATCTTATAATAAAAGGAAATTACATAATAAACGGCACTTCCCTTACTAGTATTACACTGATCCGGTTTTTTCTCCTCAACTGTTTCGAGTTTTGATATTACCATGGAAGTAGATCTTGGAATAAATAGTACTGAAAAAAGAAAATTACATTCTTTAGTAAATTATACTGTAAATATAGTACTAGGTAGTACTTGACTAGTGTTGCAGGTAAATTGTTCCACTGATTGTCATAACTTTTGCCATAACTTATGTTACAATGAGTTATGGCAATAGTTACGGCAATTTGCTTGCACCTCTATACTTGACACAATCAATACTTAATCAGGTCACAATCAGTTTCTCTGTATATGTATATAACTAATATTCAACTATATATCAAGTTTTTGTACCAGAATTTATAGAATGTATAGAATGGGACTAATGTGTGATTTTCTTCGATAAAAAACATGAATTATTAGTTAAAAGAATAAAAAAATAGACTTAACATTAATATATATATGATTTTATATTATACAAATTTGTAAAATCTGTGCTTTCCAAAATCAGATTTTTAATTAATTAATTTCTGTCATATATATTTAGTAATTGCCAATCATTTTGTCCAGATGACTTGCGATTTACCAATTAATGATATAAAAATTGCTAGATTCTGATCATAGAGTCATGAGATATTTCTAATTCATTACAATATTCTCTAGTACAAAAAAATTTCTTATTTTTTAATAAAACTTTAAATTAGCATATCTCAAGATTTAGTGATCTAAATCAAATAATTTTGATATCAATCAATTTAGCTTAATAAAACAAATCAAATAATACTAAAATTATTTGATTTTAATCAACAAATTATGTGATATATTCAAAATTTGTTGACTTTGTTACAATACTCCCACTTTACCTTATATAGTTTATTATTTTAAACAAATTTTATATAATAATTAAATTTAGTTTATTTAATAAAAAAATTTTTAATATATAGTAATTGTAGCAGATTAAAATGAAATTTTTCTATTTTTTTAAGAAAATTTAAATTTTTTGGGATATTTTTTAGAGTTAGGGTTAGTGCTAGAGTTAGAGTTTAGATTTAGTTTTATTAATAAAAGAGTATAAGTAAAATTTATAAGCTTTAAAGATGAGCAAGAAAGTAGAGTTCTGCAAACCTGTCACATGCCTGTACCCAACAAAAAATATAGATATAAACACAAATACAAAGTTTTTGGCAAAAACATAGGCACAAATACCAAAACCTAAATATAAGCATTGGTATGGCATATAAAAATTTTGATATAAATATAGGTATTGGTACTAAAATTTGGCATAGGCATAAGTATAGGCATAAAAATTTGGCATGGGCCTGGGCATGGGCATAGGCACAAATATGATAATATAAATTATTATTAAAGAAAAATTATTATATTTATGTAAAACATATCCGCGGATTTTTGGAATTACTAATTATTTTGACGCACCCCAAAATTGATCTACAATATGCGACAGCTCATTTGACACAAATAAATATGCAATACGTATAATGTGTATTGGCTAATTTGACACCATATACGCATAGTCAGGTAACCCCGTATTAAATATTGCTACCCGGGTAATCTAATTAAATTCTTTTTTTTCTTATCATTACTAGCCGAATACTAATATACTATTCAAATAACCTTATAATTAAGTTATCGTTCGACTGTGTTTATCAACTTTAGTAACTTTGTAAAGTTCAAGCAGATTTCTTTTTTTTTTTTTATTTTTTAGATCTTAGTATAATCAAATTTTTGATGATATATTTGAAGCTAACTCAAACATTATCTTTAACTAGTGATTGTGATGATGCTCAAAAGATTGTTTGATACTTGAGCAGGGAAAATGTCGGTTCAGAAATTGCTAGCTTCAGGTCTTCGTCGATATTGGGTTGTAAATGAAGAAATTATTGATAGAGTAGTTGAATTTGTTGCCATATGAGTAGAGTCAACTTTTTTTATAATTATTATATATTCTTAAATAATCATAACTTTTTTATACCGAACTAATATGAAATTTAAAATTTTTAGTTCAGAATTGTTATGAGAGGTTCGTTATAAAGAGAATTGGCTGTATAAAGAATAAAATAGTAATTCGTTGACATTGAGAATGAGGATCCATGACCAAGTTACCTGAGCAATGTCTTTGAGTACTCAATAAATTACAAAACTTGCCAAGCCAGGGATAAAAAAATGTGGTTTGTTGTAAAATGGTATAGATTGAAATAATAAATACAATATTTTTTACTAATAAAGAAAAACACTTTCTGACCTATCATTTAGGCAATTGAAAATGCCTTATATCAGAATGAATACAATATTTTTTAACAGATTTAAATCAATCATGATTTCAAGTTCGTGTTTTAAAACATTTTTTCTACTATTATATCGTGTCAAAAAATAATTGACATCTTCCTGGCGGCGCATATGTGTAGCGCAATATATTCCACATATATCACTATGGAGACATTTATTATTCCCACCATCTCGGGCCCAATCTGTACTTATATATTGTGACCTTTTCTACTTACTGTATAATGTTTTAAAATTATCAACGCTTTCAATAATAAAATTTAAAATTCTACACAATCAAATTGATATAATATAAAAATGTGTTTATAATAAATCTAAATAATTAAAAAATATATACATTGATGTTATCAATTATAAATACTTTGTGAAAACAATATTGATTTAGAGTAGTGATATTTGGATCTATAAAAGGGTTGGGGTCTTTGCCTTGAAAATGACCTAAACATATCATATGTAAGGTCAATTTCAAGGCAAAGACCCCATATGATAAAAGTATTTTGGGAAATCCTTTGGAAGAGGTAAATTGGACAGAATTTTCATCTTTCAAAATATTTCTTCATCGGATCTTGTCTTGGCAGATTTTAAAAATTAAATGAATGTCTTATGTTCATTCTTTAATCAATTATATTTGTCCAAAAGCATAACTCACCTTAACTGATTTTTGTAAATGAATAAATAGTGGTACAGTAAAACCTCTATAAGTGCACACCTCTCTAAATGCATGCTCAAGTTCTGGCCCAAATATATACATGCCCCTATAAATGCACTTTCTCTTATTGATCTCTAAGTGCACGCTGCTAAAGCTTGGTCCAAAGTGCGTGCACTTATAGAGGTTTTACTGTACATTTTTCGATTCCAAACTTACTTCAACAATAAGTACTAGCTTGAAACATTTCGCTATAGTTTTCTAACTTTTTTTGATTTGAAAATATATAAATATCTTGTGTTCACTTTGATTACACTATCTTATAAGATAGCAAAAATAATCTATAAAAATTACGTTTTATTTTTGGAAACACATAATAATAAGCAAACAATATATCATATTATTCGCAATGTTAAATCGTTTTGCGTTTTGTGGCTAAACCTGATTTTGCAGTGATTGAATATTGTTGTATTGAAGGGTAAGCACTATTTTTTGCATTGACACACATAAGTCAAAAAGGATTCATTGATATAGATCTTTCTCCATTCAAACTGTTGAATAACAATAAACACACAATAGTAAATTAGAAAATATGTAGCGTTTTTGGAATATAACAATACCTATTTAGCTGAGATAGAAAGCTCTTTGGCAGCACCATATTATATAGCACCATAAATCTTCTATATAATTTTTGTCATTCAATCCAGTGTAATAATATTCGGATAGCATTCTTATTCTGCCATATTGGTTTTAACCGAAATAGTTTAGAACTAATAAAAATTGTAAAGTGATAGTTAAAATTAATAAATACTTAATTTATATGAATCACTCTGCTTGAAACTTGATTAAACCCTGTTGAGCAGAACTTTAAAAATTAAATTTGGTGGCACAAAACGTTACCACGGTACTATAACGAGCGATTGCTATCTAGAGATGTTAATTAGATAGCACAAAAAGTTACCATGGTACTTATTCCAAGTGATTTTTGTCCAAAGATAGAGGTACCAACCTTTACCATGGCACTATACCAAGCAATTTTTCATATGAAATTTTTTTTATACGTTATATTTACTCAAAATTCAGTACTTTGTATAGGATACTTTGCATGGGGTACTGTGATTCGCACCGTATGGCACTTATTATAATTAAATCATCGCGCTTTCTCAACTAGGCTTTTAAAAAAAATGTCTTTTGAAAGTAAATATCCTAAGAATAATCCTTTTTCACTAAAACAGAACCACACTATATATACATATCATATTATTAATGAAGGATATTATCCATCAAAGGATATAATATGTTATACCTCAACTCACACAAGAAGTAAAACTCAATATAAAATTTCGGATGATTACATAGTTGAAACAAGCTGAGAAAAAGGTCATATAGTTGAATGCGAGATTGAATATCAATCGAATAGACCAGTCTTTAGAATTAAATTCAAAGAAAATTCCCAACAATATATCGTAGAATCAGATAAATCTCCATCTAAAGTTGCAAATAAATATCTAAACGTTAGTATATAGTATTACTTTAATAAAGCTTATATCGTATAATTTTATTTAATAAATATCTAAATATTTAATATAGAGGGAAAAGTTCTAATACTTGTTCAAGAATTTCTGGTGTTCACATTTTTGGTCTTAATATAATTGATGTAAAACATGAACGAAAATGTAAAAAAAAAAGGAAAAACGACCATATGCTTTAAAATCATTTAACCTACTTAGCAAATCTATGAAAACAAAACGATCACGTGCATTTTCTATGGAAGTAGGCAAAATCTTTGAAAGTGAAGCTCTTAATTTTTATAATCCAATTGATCAGCCAATTTTACAAGAAGTCCGTTTTAATGTTCAAAGCAAGAACTATTCTGCCACTTATTGTAATGAAAAAGAGCAAAATATTGATGCGTAAACATTATTGACAAAGGCTTAATTTTTCGTGATGCTTATAGAGATCTGACTGCACTTGAGGCTGGGTTACCACGAGAACATAATGTTGCAAATGTTAAACAAAAAATAAATGAGAAAATGGGCGAAAATATCCTAATATTTGTTATAGATATTAAAAATAGTTTTCTTACAACAAATGAAACATCTTATATTACTGATAAGGACATTGAAGAAGAGATGTTACAGTATGTTGGAAAAGCAGGCTATAGGCCAATTACTAATATTTTGCTTTTTAAAATTCTGGATCTTGTAAAAAAGAATACTCTTAATAAAAATAATCCAATAGTTTACCTTCGTATTTCAGGAGACAGGCATAATGTGGGCAGAAAGATTAAACACGTGATGATTACCTGTGTCATATTAGATGATATTTTAAATATTTATCGAGCTAAGTGCTACTATACCATAGTTTTATATCCTGGTGGAGAAAACTATGAAACGTTACAAAATGCAATGGAGCCAATGATAAATGAATTGCATAAGGTAATTTTTTATTTTTATAAATTCTTTAAATAGCAACATAGGTATTATTTCGAATTTTGGCCCGAATTGGGCCAAAATTCAAAATAACATCCATGCCCTCTATTTTGAAAATTTATGGTATGCTTTTTTTCAAGTCGATCTAAAAAAAAAACTTATAAGTTGTATTATATAAGTTGGTAGAAAATGGTCTAGAGTTAAATGGAATACGATGGAAGGTTATTCCTTATTTTTGTAGTGACTGGAAATTTTTAAGTATAATTTTAGGTTTTAATGCACTGAATGCAAATTACTTTTGTCCCTGGTGCTTATGCACCAAAAAAGATCTTAGTACCAATGCTATGGATAAAGTTTATAAGATCAAAAAAGTATGGATCAGCTTAAGGGTACAAGACCACCACCTGGACATCGTAAAGCCCCTCTCTTACCTATAATTACTTTGGAACATTATGTTCCTGATGAGCTTCATATAATGCTAAGAATTTGGGATTATTTATAGTCATTAGTAATTCAGGACCTTGAAACAGAAAATCAATATACTGATCATATTAGAGAAATTATTAGCATGGAAATGCACAGAATTTTCATTAAATTTAATTTTTGGCAGGATCATGGCACACATAATTGGTCTAATACACCCTTAATGGGTGATGATAAAGAAACTGTAATACGCAATTTTAATTTTGAGGTGATTTTTAATAAAGAACGGGGCACATTAATTAATCATCTCTGGAGAGAGTTTTATGCTCTTTACATTGCTATTAAGCAACCAGAAACTGATTCTAATTTCTTTGCAATTCAAGCAAAAAACTAGTTAAGTTTATTTCTTACTTCCTATAAAGGTAGGCCCAACACAATTTATTTCAAAAAAGGTCTTTATTAGCCAAAAGACATTACCCCATACATGCATATATTAGTTCATCATCTGCCCGAATTCATGAATCGCCATAGACATTTCGGGTTGGCAGCATTTTCTTGTTCACCTGTCGAAAAAAAAAACCATAATCAAGTTTCTACCTTCTTCAGAAAGACAATGAAAGATGGTGGTGATGGTACAGAAAGGAAATCTGCTATTTATGAAATTCTTAGCTATTAAAACCAATCTATGTATTTTGCTCAAAATTCTACTTTAAATTTAGTTTCTAAACATCAACATCTTCATATTAATTAGGATAAGAATCAAATTGGTTATAGCTGTCAATATGCTACATATAGTGGGTATTTAGGTAAAATAATGCAGTCAGAATATTTAAATAGGTGTCTTTTTTTATAATATATAGAGAGAACATACGGTAAGAAATTTAGCACGTGATTGAATATCAACCACCAATTTTTTTTCTGTGTTACACTAATTGGGTGCTAAAGTTTAGACAATTGAGAAGTCGCCTTTTTTTTGAATACATAAAAAGTAATCGATTGAAAGATAAAAAGAGATAGCTCAATCATTTTTGTATTATCTCAATCACTAGCCAATTACAGTACTAGAGAACAGCCTAAGACAATACAATGAAAAGAGTATAAATTGTGCATTATCACATAAAATTTACACCACCATGAATAGAATGTTTCATGGATTCAGCATAGTGAATTTTTTATATTCAATGTCAAGAACCGTGCGAATTATCAAAATTTTAATTTTATTTGGAAAATCATGTGATTGTGATTTTAGCTATCCTTTTTTATCTATATATTACAGTATTAATTCTCTAATTAAATCCCACGCATTTCCTACCTGTTCAGCTAATTCATGACTTGTCCTATTAGCAACGTTATAATGTGTACAAACTTTGTCTAACAGTTGTACTTTGGACCACAGGTTTGTATTATGAAAAATTATTGTTTTACCGAATCTACTAAAGGTGCATATCAAGAATTAAGAGAATTTAGATTGTTAGACGATCTAACTCATACATTATCGACCTTCTCTGAACTTGTTTGGAAAGTTTCTTGAGATATAGTTTTTCTATTAAATATGTAAAATGGTGATAATTTCATAAATAACAAAATTTTTTCATAACTTGAGGATGAATGCTAATAGTAGGAGCATTACGCCTTTCAATCAATAGTGAATCAGTGTAAAAGCTGTTTTATTTGTATTACCGATTGGAAACTAAGAATAATTATAAAAGAAAATTTGGGCTTTTCTTTTTTCTAAGTCTTCAAGCAACTGCTGTGAAACGGTAATTCGATCAACTATGACTTTTTTTTAAAAAACCATTGTTGTTTGAAATCGATATTTGAAAGATTTGGAAAGCCATGTTTGATAAGTGCAGCTGCAATTATCAACTCTTGGGTAATATGATTTTGTGATTGATATCGTTCTGCAATCCAGCTAAATAGGTTTTTTTTCAACTTGTAGTTGGCGTAATCATATGCTGGAGCTGAGAGAAACGAAGTGAAAGTCTTCAAGCCTATTTTATGAAATTTTCAGTATCCGGTTCCTGGTTCAATTGAACTTATTTTAGAAGTTTTATTGATTAATTTTGTTATATTTGAAGACATCAGATCTTCAAATATTTGTTAATCAATCACTACTTTTCTGATATATACAATTTATATTAAAATAAAATTCAATCTTTGAAATATCATTAAAAAAACAATGTGTTATAGTTCTTATATAAAGTTTATTTTTTCTTTTTAATGCAAAAATTCATACATAAAAAAAAATAAATATATATAAACTACAATAAATATGCAATATATACCATTATATAAAGTATAAAACAAAAGTTAATATTAATCCTGCCCATTAAATAGACTTGAAAAGTCATTTGAATACTTATGATTCGAAAGTTACTTTGCCATGAATTACGAGAAATATTGAAGTTAGAAACCTGCCTGCGGCCTTATATTTTTAAGCATGTCAAAGGCTTATAGATTTCTTTTTTTTTTTAATAGATGAAAGTAAATTGTGATTGAATTTATTATATAAAAGACAAATCTAAAATTCAAAGGGATGATATTATGGCTCCAACATAAATGTCTCTATTTTGCCAGTGTTAATTATAGATCATTTGTAATAATATTATCAACCGTAGGATATTAAAATTTCTGTAAAAAAGAGGTGTGACGACTTAGTGAAGTGGTCTAGTTGTCACCCTCACCAAACGTTATGGGAAGATCCCATGTTCAAATCCCA